CTTAGGCAGGAAGGTGGCTGTCATGGCGTGCAACCATGTCTCGAGGCTGTCCCAATGGGCTGCTGGGCTGGGAGACCGGGACATGCTGGCTTACTGTAGGCGAGAGGAGCACAACACACACACACACACACAAACAAAAACCAAATGCAATTTGTTCTATAATTTATGCGCTTATACCCTTAATACGGGCGATGCCGTTTACGGGAATTTCGACTAACTGATGCAGACAGTTAGGTAGGGACAAATTGTTTAGGTCAGCGCAGGCCCTGAATAAAGATTTTGACAGGGCCGGAGCCTAGTAGGTCACTGTTGGTGCTAACGGCTCGGCTGTCAGTCTGTTATTTAGCTCTCCTTGAGTGTCTCTGTAGGCTTCGTCTCTGGGTGACCTGGAAGGCACAGTTCGCACAGAACAGAGAGAATTAACAGAAGAATAGCAAGTAAAAAAAAAAACTTGAAGCGAGGTTAGACAATAGAAATGAATGGATCTGTTAAAACAGAGTAACAATAGCACAGAAAGTGTTACGGGAACAAAGGTGCTTGAGCCGACTATGTGTGGTTTTCTGAGACAAAGGGTGGACACGCTTAAATGTCACGGGAGAATATCTGATATTCTTGTGGCTTGTATTACGTGGATGACTTTTCTTTACCTTATTTCAGCTCGCCTGGGGCGATCTGAAATCACTCTAGCCGGAGCCAGCGTCGAAGGCAATCTTTCCGTCGCTCCAAGCACTTAACTGAGGTGTCCACGGACCTCTCCTGTGCATCAACCACGGTGCGCCCCCTCAAACAACCTCAACTTTTAGCACAACCGGCACCCCAGGGGAGGTCACCTGCTTACGACACTGCAAAGAGGACTTTTCCCCAGAACCCTCTTTCGAGTGGTCCCCTTTTAGACCGTGGTGCAGGTACTGGGTCCGAAATTGCCTTGTGTCTTATTGCGTGGTGGGTCTCCCCCTTTGTGGGCGTGCCAAATTGCTGATGTCTAGTTGCGTGCCGCACCAATGGAGAGACAGGAAGGTCCGCGACTCACCCACAGCAAGCGTTGGTTACGCCGGCCAGACGACCCCGACCACTGGAAGCCAACCAGGGATGATGGTCAGATCACACCAGCGCAAGAGAGTTCTACCTGGAAATACCGAATGTGGTAGAGACAAGTGACTCTAAAATTACTTAAAGCTTACTTTGTCTAAACCAAAATGAGTATCTGTGTGTGTAGAAAATACAGAGTTTTGGCAACTACTGGGAGAGAGGAAAATAGAGAGGGAATTGTGACAATGTTGTTAGTTATCAGAATAACCTACAGAGAGGGGTCAGTGAATAAGGCAGGATAGCCCCGGGAGTGAGTAAGCTGGAGTGGCGGGTTTGGGCCACCAGAGGGGGTACTTCCCAGTTGTTAGTCTGGAAGAGAAACAACTTAATTGGAATGGCAAGTCAACTGGTTTAAATTTAATTCAAATAAGCGTATACGGAGATGTTAAATAACACCTAAGATAGTGTGGGTGCAGTCGTGATAGAGATCACTAAGAGACGTCAGGGGAGAGAGTGAGAGGAAGGAAAAAAAAAATTGAATAAAATTTTTTTTTTTTTTTTTTAATGGAAGAAAAAAAATTAATAATTTTTTTTTTTTTTTTATTAATAATTCCTTTTTTTTTTGGAAAAGACAATTAATAAAAGTTATCAAGTCGTTAAAAACAAACTACCAAACTCATCAATTTATCGAGAAGGAGACAGGTTAATTATTAATAAGACTTATTGATTTATCTGTGGGAAGAAAAAAAAAAATCAATAAACGTATTTAGACGGAAAACGAGATTAAGTAGAATTATTCGTAACCTAAGTCAACTTGAGTGAGAGTTTAACTCAATTTTATCTTCAAAATTTCCTTTAGACCAAATCCGAATGAGACCAGTAAATTAACTGATGGGATTACTTCTAATGCTAATCACGATCGCTGTAAGGTATCGGTGACAGCCTAGAACAAACCCAGCTTTAAACAGACTGAAATTTCAACAGGAATCAAGAATCGCAAGGAACCGACTCAGCGTCGGAGGCCACAAGGGGGCCGTCTTTCCCGCGAGTCACTTCAGTGAAGAACTACAACTGACTTAGAAAAGAAAATTCAGGAAGGAATGACCTATTCTGAGAGCGTCCACACGGGGCGCTATCGCGCTCGCGTTGATGAAGAGGGTGTGGCGGTAATTTGAGACCGGGGCGCAAGGCTGCGCTCTAGCGTTCAGCAACAGAATCACAACCACACCACTTCAATTGTACCTTCTGTGGGGGCGCGCAAAATCTTAACTGCACAGAATTAAAAAATTCAGGCGGATTCGTACGGTGCTATGTTTCACGGGTTTGTGAGGCAGAATTCTTTCACTGCACTTACAGATAACTGTACCAACAGGAATTAACGTCTGTGGTTTAACTCCCAATACATTTATCATTTAGCACTTAATGAATGAAATGTTCTGGTTTAACCTTTGGTTAGCTAAATCAAAGTTGAAACCAGGAGTTTTCGTTAATCTAACGACAATATCATCAGGCCTTATTAGGTTGAATTACAGGAGCATCGCTGCATTCAAATCCTCTTCGTTTCTGCTCAAAAGATTCTCGTTTTGCAAGCAGGCGGTTAAAAAAAGAACATATATTAACATGTAAACGTCTTTACAGAGGTAATATCTCTTTTATCACGAACTACAGTTTACTGTTAATACTTTAACAGTGAGTATCAGTATTATGAACTGCAATTTATTTTAGCAATTACCACGACTAAAACGTTTAGACGAATTTAGCAGTTTGTAATGTGCTCGGCTGAAACTCGGCTTTCAGCGTTCACGTGCGTTTCTTAATCCCAAGAAAACACAACAAAATACACAAAATTGACACTGCATTAATTGCTCACATAACAAAACTTAAAATATTCCCGATCAATTCTCCACCATAATATGTAAAGATGTTACAGGGTTCATAAGCTCTTTAGACAATTTTAATTTTGGGGACAAATATTCAAGAGTTATTAATCTCTGATCAACAAATTCTTGAATATAGTTTGAACCGAGTACTTACATAAATAAATCACCCAACGAGGGGTTTATACAGCATACACGTCTGCTTAGGGCATGTATATAACAATTAAACACAACGAATTATGAATAATTAGGAATATACATCCTACGCAGAGGGATATGGCTGATCTTTAAAATTACCCAAGCAATTGACACCTCCTTCTCAATAAGCACGTCCGCCGTGCGTTTTGCCGGAGGTTATCAATGACTTGTGGTCTATTTTAGCTTAAATTTACTGACAATGTTTTGTGCACTTAACAATATCAGATTGTAGCGTTAGGATCTTATATTAAAGAGGCTTTGTTATGTGGTCAACAACAAACAGAGGCAATAAAATGTAAATGAGGTTTAATAGAATGAACTACACTACATGTAAAACAGGGATATAGATGAAACAAAATAAAATATAAGCAAGAATAAAACAAGGTAGAAACATAAGAAAAACACAATTGCTAGCACAATCCGACCCTCAGAGACAGCCACAGAATACACACTTTAGAGCGTCTAAATTTAGATGGAACAACTTTGCATTCAGACCTGTAGTGTTGTGTTGGAGCAAGCGTGCGGCTTCCTGGAAAGGGGAGGAGGGCTTCTTTGATTCCTCCAAGCGTGGTTGATTTGCGGGAGATTCAAAAGTCCTGAGACAGTTCTGGATGCGTGAGGTAGTCGTATTGTCGGAATTCGGTACGACTAATGAAACGCACGTGGGGATCTCGGTCGGAGAAGAGAACCGCACTAAGAACAGACTGGCTATACGCAAAATAAAACGAAGACAAAGTATAACACGAAGAAAATAAACACGAAGATTACATCAGGGATCAGGATACACAAGACAGAGTACACAGGAACATAGAGACTGAAAGCCTCTAAGTTTGGGTTTTTAAAGTTAAACTGAGCACGCCCTGGTAAGGGGTGCCAGCCAATGACAATGACCCACCTCGAGGAGCGCGTACGCCCCTGGTTGGGTGGCGTTAGGTGTCAATTTGCATCTTTATGACAAAGGGAAAAATTAAGCTTACTTAGGAAATGGCATATACATGTGGATATACATTTCATGATATTGATATACTGCTTAATAGATAGATCAGGTTTGAGGGATTGTGACCATATCAAACATCACACGTCACAGACATGGTATTGTAGAGTTACATCCTAATGCATACGTACAGGCATTTATGAATTCCTTACAGTCATGATTAACATTTGTAGGACAAATTTGCACATTTACAGTTCTTTTACAGGCATTTTAACACACCGAATCTGTTTTAGTAACGATTTATGGGCAGAACTAGGGTTCCTGCGCGTGTGTGTGTATATGTGCGTGTATGTGCGTGGCCGCACGTGTGTGTGGGAATGTGTATTGCGCGCCTGTGTGAGACGGGGGGACATCTGTGTTTTTCGCTTCTCCCGCCCGATTTCCGCCAGGAGGGCGCGAAGAAAGCCTGGATGTTGTCTCAAGAGATAGATCTCGCTGTTTGTAAGACATACAGCAACATTCATCACCATAAATGCCCAAAAGTCCATTTGCTCTCTAGACTTCTAGGCGCCAATGTTGGAAAAGGTGAGACCTTATGGCTGACCACATGGCCTTAGGAATGTGTGTTAGTTAAGGCTCTGGGTTCTTTGTTTGCGAGTTGATGATTTTAATAAAAGAGAATTAATGATTGTCCCTTCAATCTCTACATACGACAACTGTCAAAATGTCTTTGTTTTTCAAGACAAGCCATGACCAAAATAAACAGAGATTTCTTTGTAGCGACCATTTCAATCTCTCGTGTAACGCAGCTCACATCACCAAACGTGTCACTGATTGATGATGTATAACGTGTTCAATCATTTACAGCTCAATAATCTGAACTCACAGCAGCAGAAAGAGGCTGAACACTTCAAATATACTTTACATTGTGATATATGTGTGAGAGTCAAATATGATCTTACCACAGTATCTCCAGTTTACAGTGAGGATTCTGTAGTACATCAGACAGCAGATTCACTGATTCTCCTATTTTATTCCCAGTCAGATCCAGATCTCTCAGGTGTTCAGGGTTTGATCTCAGAGCTGAAGTCAGAGCAGCAAAACCTTCATCTGTGACGCCACAATACCTCAACCTGTAGAGAACAATGACACACACTTCACTCTCTCAGTTCAGATCAGATCAGTTTAGCAGTGAATCCATTATTAAAGAGAAAGTTCAAACTTAAAGCACAAATTAATATGTTTGATGGATAATGAGATTGAGATCTAAAATGTCACAAAACATGATCATACAACATCTAAAGTATCATTCAATCAGGAAAAATAATCTCTTATTTGCACTATATTAAAATTCAGACTTGTGCAAAATCTGCTTTAATAAATGACACTATATTCACTACATAGTTCAGTTTTACTGTTACTTACTAGATCTGTACTATGTAATATACATGGAGTGTGAATTAGTGTGTGTGTGTTTTCATTTTACAAAATTTACTTTATAAAAACAATACTTTCTAAAGAGTCAATGCAGAAAGATGAACATAATTAACAGTAAGAATGAATCCAGCATGTTCTTCATCTCTCAGTTCTGACGGCGTTGAGCTCGAGTCTGTTTAAAGTCAAGAGACTGAAATGTTGATTGTGTGTGAAAGTGTGTATTTCAGTGTGACTCTCAGTCCTGCAAGTCAAGTCAAGTCACCTTTATTTATATAGCGCTTTTTACAATACAGATTGTATCAAAGCAGCTTCACAGTGATAACATGAGAATAATACAACAAAGTTTGTTTCTAGAAGAAAATTGCGTCTACGTCCACCTTAACCCTCTGGGGTCCTTCATTTAACAGTCACAGTCAGGACCTTCGGGTCCAAATGGATACGGAGGGCGGGATTAATATATATTTAAAAAATCTTTTTTTTTTTACTTGTTTTTAATAATATTTTTTCTTTTCATTTTTAGTGTTTTGAGAATTTTATGATTTATAATGAATATTTATGCAATAATTATGACCCATTTTTTCCCATTGAATATAATAGAATTTTTTTAATATATATAATTTATTATTATTTTTTATTAAAGCTGTATTTCATTTTAGAGTCAAGCCTAGGCCTCATGAAAACAATTTTTGAAATGAGATGGATGCCATCTGGTGGACACACTGAGCATTTTTATCACGCAATAGCACATTTTTACCACTAGTGGATTTACAGCTCTCTGTAGAAAGACTTGCGAATTGTGTGTGTGTGTGTGTGTGTGTCTGTTTTGCACTCTTGATGTTTCAGAGATTCACCCCTTCACTGCTGAGTCCTTTTTTCTGCATTCTGGCTGATTTGTAGATTGTATGCACAAACAAACTCTGTGTTTTCATATTTTTGACAATTTCCCGTTCATTTCCTATGGGGGTCATTTTTTGACCAAAGAGCAGAAGTGTGACGACCACTTAGCATGCTTGCATCTTGACCTCGATATTTTTTGTGTGTTCACATACCTAATACCATAAAAGTCACCTAGTTTCGTAACATTCCGATGAAGCTGTGATTTTTAAAAATTCAAAACAGATTTATGTAGGCCTAATCTGAATTTATTAGTGTGTATGTGTATAAAAGTGTGTTTGTGTGTGTGTGGATGTGTCTGTTTTGCACTCTTGATGTTTTATAGATTCACCCCTTCACTGTTGTGTGCTTTTTTTCTGGATCATGGGTGATTTGTAGATTGTACACACAAAAAAACTATTTTTGCCAATTTCCCATTCATTTCCTATGGGGGTCCATTTGGACCTGAAGGTCCTGAGTGTGACTATTTTTTTTTACCACCACTTAGTCTATTCAAATCCTGTCCCCAATTTTTTTGGGTGTTCATATACCAAGTACCAACAAAGTCACCAAATGTCGGACCATTCCGATGAAGCTATGATTTTAAAAAAAAAATTGTTTAAATGCTTCGGGTCCATTTGGACCGAAGGACCCCAGAGGGTCAAGTAAGGCAGATCAATAATATTGTTGAATATTAAATGTCCCCAACTAAGCAAGCCGAAAGCCAAGGCAACAGTGGCAAGGAACCAAAACTCCATCAGGGACAGAATAGAGAATAAAACCTTGGGAGAACCCAGACTCAGTCGGAGGGCCAGTTCTCCTCTGGCCAACGAACGAACAGTGTATGATTCGGGCAGCATCACAAGTCAGATTGGATCGGAACATTTAGAGTATTTATCCATTTCCATCTGCAGTTTCATGTTATTGAGGATCAGCTCGTGTGTTCAATCATTTACAGCTCAATAATCTGAACTCACAGCAGCAGAAAGAGGCTGAACACTTCAAATATACTTTACATTGTGATTCATGTGTGAGAGTCAAATATGATCTTACCACAGTTTCTCCAGTTTACAGTGAGGATTCTGTAGTACATCAGACAGCAGATTCACTGATTCTCCTATTTTATTCCCAGACAGATTCAGATCTCTCAGGTGTTCAGGGTTTGATCTCAGAGCTGAAGTCAGAGCAGCAAAACCTTCATCTGTGACGCCACAATCCCTCAACCTGTAGAGAGATGAAAATAAAAAAGCATAATTTAAACACTATCAAACAGCTTATATGAAAAATTCCAATTCCAATATAATTTAACAATGTAAAATTATTATCCAAGGTTCATGGTCAATTGTTTCTATTTACAATGTGTTTTTGCAGCGGTAAGAAATGAAGCCAATCACAGACAAGTTTGCTGATCTCTTTTTTGTTCAGTGCCGAGTTCTTCACGCACGCGAATCCTCTCATTAACAAAAAGACAGATTTTATTTTTCTATTGTTTATAATGTAACTTTATGAGATTGTGAACTGAGATGAGTGACAGATTTATAATGATTGTAAAGGGAGCGCTCTTCCGAGGTTATACATAATCCATTGAATAAAAGTTTTGTTTTTCTTGCTGCTGAGAGGACCGATGGCCAATTACACGCTGCAAAACGGCACGTCAAAATAGATACGCACAACAGATTAACAGATAAATGGAAAAATATTCATATCAATATATTTTTTTCATATCAACAAATATTTTCAAAAGTAATGACTTGTAAATAATCTTAAATGTCTCATTGTACATTGCTATTCTTGTTATGTAAGAGTCGTTGCTACACATTAAATCTGCACTTTACTAGAGAACCATCACTAATTTCACACACTCAGTGATTTGATTCTTAATTGTCAATCTCACAGTAAAATTAAAATGTGAAGATTTAGTCAACTTTAAGCTAAACATCAAGTTAATGTTTAATTGTCCATCTAATAGTAAAATATAAATGTATGACTCTGCTATGTAAACCATACATCAAATGTTTTTTAGGAGATTTGAGCTACTTGATAAATGAGCCGTTTCATCAGTTGTTTACTTGGTCTTCATTTCTTTTATCATTTTTTAAAAATATTTAAATTCCTTCTTTATGTGCAAGAACATTCAACTAGTAAACCTGAATTTATTTGCCTGAAGGAATTTTACATTGTCACGGTTTAAGAAACACATGAAATACTGACCACTGAACTCTACACAACATCTGCAGCACTGAAGATTTATGAACTTTTATTTTCCTAATGTTTTAACAGTGAACTGATTGTTCTGATTGATACTTACTGAACTGATCTGGATTCTTTAATCACAGGAAGCAGCTTCTGAAGAACCTTTAGTTTTTCAGTTTTAGTGTCGCTTCCAACAAAATTATTAATATCAAACTCATCCAGCTTCTCCTCTGATGTCAACAACACAAAGACTACAGCTGACCACTGAGATGAAGAGAGTTTGGCTGACTTTATTCTTCCAGATTTCAGATACTGTTGTATTTCCTCCACTAGTGAACGATCACCCAGTTCATTCAGACAGTGGAACAGATTGATGGATTTCTCTGGAGAGTCGATGATCCTGATCTTCTTCTTGATGTACTCAACTGTTTCCTCATTGCTGTCAGATGTTCTTGTCTGTTTCATTAGTGTTTGTAGGAGAATCTGATGAGACTCCACTGACAGACCCAGAAGAAACCGCAGGAAAAGATCCAGATGTCCATTTTTACTCTGTAGAGCCTCATCCACAGCTCTCTGATGCAGCGCAGATAATGAAACTTCTTCTGTTGGAACATGTTTTGATGAGTTGTTTTTAAACCAGCCCTTAACTTTAAACAGCAAACTCTGTTTGTCAAACACATTTCTGTTGTTGATTGTACAGGAGAGATGCACATATAGAGCCGCTAGATGTTCCTGAACACTCAGATGAACAAAGCAGAAGACTTTCCCCTGATACCAGCCAGACTCCTCTCTGAAGATCTGAGTGCACAATCCTGAGTACACTGATGCTTCTGTCACATCAATGCCACACTCTCTCAGGTCTTCCTCATAGAAGATCACATTGCCTTTCACAAGCTGCTGAAAAGCCAGTTTCCCCAGTTTGAGGATCATGTCTTCATCTGTCACCTTCTTCTCATAGTCCTTCTCATGTGTGATGTTGGTCTGAAGGATCAGGAAGTGTGTGTACATCTGAGTGAGAGTCTTGGGAATCTCTCCTCTCTCTGCTTCGCTCAACATCTTCTCCAGAACAGCGGCTGAGATCCAGCAGAACACTGGGATGTGGCACATGATGTAGAGGCTCCTTGAGGACTTCAGGTGTGTGATGATTGTATTGGCCAGACTCTGATCACTGACTCTCTTCCTGAAGTATTCCTCCTTCTGTGGATCATTGAAGCCTCGTACCTCTGTCACTCGATGGACACACTCAGACGGGACGAGATCGGCTGCTGCTGGTCTGGAGGTGATCCAGATGAGAGCAGAGGGAAGCAGATTCCCCACAATGAGGTTCGTCAACAACACGTCCAGTGATTTCTTTTTGTTTGCATCTCGTAAAGTCTCATTCTTTTTAAAATGTAAGGGAAGACGACACTCATCTAGACCATCAAAGATGAACAACACTTTATATTTGTCACTGGATATTTCCCTTTCTTTAGTTTCAGGGAAAAAGACATGAAGAAGCTCTGAAAGACTGAGTGTTTTGTCCTTCATCAGATTGATCTCTCTGAAAGGAAGTGGAAATATGAGCTGGACGTCCTGATTCTCTTTCTCTTCAGCCCAGTCCAGGATGAACTTCTGCACAGAGACTGTTTTTCCAATGCCAGCGACTCCCTTTGTCAGCACAGTTCTGATGGGTTTGTCTTGTCCAGGTAAAGGTCTAAAGATGTCATTGCATTTGATCGGTGTGTCCTCTGTTGCTGCTCTCCTGGATTGTGTCTCAATCTGTCTCACCTCATGTTCATTACTGATGTCTCCACTCTCAGTCTCTGTGATGTAGAGCTCTGTGTAGATCTCATTCAGGAGTGTTGGGTTTCCCCGCTGTGCTGTTCCCTCATACAGACACTCAAACTTCTTCTTCAGATTTGATCTAAACCGGTTGAGGACTTCATGGCTGTAAAATTAAAATACCACAGTATTAATAAGCACAATGTCTTTTTTTAATCATTTATTTTGTTGAAATGTAATACCTGAGATCAGTCTGTGTATCTCCACTCCTCATAGACACACAGCTGGACTCTGGTTCTGATCTCTTCTGATGAACTGAACTATAACGGAGTTTAAAGTTAAACATATTTGCCATATTCAGCATATTACATATCTATTTATCAATAAACCAATCACTTTTCATGATTATTTAATTTACACTGTTATTACAAAAATTGTACATTGAAATGAGTTCTTTCACAGATGTGTCTCTGTGTGAGCAACACTATACTGTATGCATTAAAATATTACATTAAAACATTCTTCTTGTACATTGTTTGTATCTTGTAGAATATATTACTGATAATGTTCTGATAATATAAAATGCCATACTATAATCATATTTTTATAGAAATGAAATACCTGAGATCAGACTGTGTGTCTTTGCTCTTAAAATGTATTGGCCAATCCATAGACGCGTCACTCCTCATAGACACACAGCTGGGCTCTGGTTCTGATCTCTTCTGATGAACTGAACTATAACAGAAATAGATTAAAGTTAGAACATTGAATTACTGTATTCAAAAATCACATATTCATTTATCTTCACAATGTTGATAAAACAACCTGTAAAATGAACTAAGTGCTCTCATACGTCCCTCGTGTGTGAGTAACACTACATACATTAAAATATTAGCTACACATAAAAAATAACTGTAAGCAATGTCCAAAAATTATTTATCATATCTTGTAGAATATATTACCGATAATGTTTTGATAATATAAAATGCCATACTATAATAATCATATTTTTATAGAAATGTAATACCTAAGATCAGTCTGTGCATCTTCACTCTTAAAATGTACTGGCTGATCCATAGACGCGTCACTCCTCATAGACACACAGCTGGACTCTGGTTCTGATCTCTTCTGACGAACTGAACTATAACATGAAAAAATTATAATTGATGATAATATTTAAAATAAGTTCTTAAAAGGTATCTTAATTAAAATACTGGCTGGTCTAATTGTTTTCAATACAATTAAAGTTTTCAACTTAATAAAAACATCTTGACTATAATTTAAAGATGATTTAATCTGTAGTTTATTCAAAATACCTGCAAACTGGATACAAATCTTCATCTCTGGATGTTTGAGTGTCATCCATGATGAAGCTGAACAGTTGAAACAGAATCTGATCTTCACCGCTGACTCTGAATGGAAATGACAAACAAACACAATAATTCACAATAATTCAGCAGAACGGATCCTGAGATTCAGAGAAACAGGATCATGAGACTCGGCGTTCACTCAATACACAATGTTAGTCGTATATTAACACAAATGCTAAATAAATCACAGACAACACGACACAATGAAGGCATGATTTGCTCTAAAATGAAAAATATCAAACATATAAAATAACTAATATGTCCTTTAGGGGAAAAAGGCTCAAATTGGCCTAAATGCGGAAGTCAGCTGTAAAACGTGTCGAGAACTGAACACTCACCTTGATCAACGTTTATCATATTCAGATTCACAAAATCCACCGCCGTTTCTATCAAGTAGTTAAACGTAAATTCGTGTCTTAGCTTTTATGGAGGTTTCCATGAAACGCTTTGCATTTGATAATCAGTATAGAATCGATTATGGCTGTTTAAATGGCGAAACACCAACTCTGATCATTTACTTTCACTTTTAGTTACGCGCAAAACAATGATGGCGTCACGTTACGCGCGCGCTCAGAGTTCACACTCGCAGTAGCACCTAAACAGAATAAAGCAGTGATATATAGCATAAGCATAACTAATTTAATTCCGTGCCCGACCCGTTTGACAAAGACCGCGACCCGAACCGCACCAGCATTAAATCAGGTGACAAAAATAATTAATGTTCTTATGTAACAGAAGCAATCACACCAACATTAGCCATTCTGAGTTGATGCATGAAAAATATACATGCTGCCCAAAGTAATCCATATCCATATCCATATCCAAGTTAACAAAAAAAAAAAAACCTGTAAAACAAAAGTTGGAACCCGCCTTTGAATTTAATGGGCTAAAAACGAGTTAATTATGAACCTGCGCGGAACTTGGACAGTTTGGTGTCTCGTGCATCTCTTGACCATATATGGATATGGATGTCTCCGTGCCTGAATCTGGAGAAGCCCCTAGATCACAAGATTGAAAATTATTTCGATGCATGTATGTGCTACATCCAGCAAAAGTCCTCCTGGAAAAAAGAAAAAAAAAGCTGATAGTGTTGTATCGCTTTATACTGATATTTTCGACACTATTCAGTCCCTGAACTCCAAGCAAGACGTGGTTTTTCTCAAAAGATAATTCTCACTTTGAGAGCTCCATTGAGCTCCATGTGTTTGCTGGGAGGGGACGTCCCCCGTGTAATGTTTACTCACTGGCTAAATCATATTTTACATATAATAACTGGACCAGACACGGACCACTCGAACTGTGCACTTTTATTATTATTCCACCACCTTTGACATACAGTCTCGCGAGACTTGCCGGAGGGCTACGGTGTCCCTAGGCTTGTTTGAGATGCGCCTTGCCTCGCCTGAAATGTAGTCGAGAGTAGGCGGCTGCAGTGAGGGGAGGAGTGAAAAAAGCGCAGCCAAGACGGACAGATCTCGCTTCTCACAGTGGATCAGACACCTGCGAGATCAAAGACTGATATCGCGGGATTCACGGGATTCACGCCCGTGCACGGTGTTGCTAATAAACTGGATGTAATTGAAGTTTTGTTGCTTGAATATGAAAATAAATATAAGGAACAAGACACCCAAAGTACTTATTTAATTCCATTTTAAATAGGCCTATGTGTTTATCAATAATCTCTTCTTTAATACAGATATGTGTTTTTATTTTAATTTTTTTAAATTTAAATTACATCACATAGATAGATCACACTGTCAGAGAGTTTGGGAATATCCACACGTAATTTATACACATAAAACATGATATCAGAGTTTTAAAATCAAACATTTTAAAAGAGAACAATACATCACGGTTGTTTAAACCAATGAGCATTAAGCTGTGTCGTCAGCAAGTCGTTTCCCATCATGCTTTTGATCAGCGCAGTCGGTGGAGAGCAACTGCGCGCGGCTGCAGAATCCGACACGTGCGCCTTGCGGTCGCGAGAGTTTTTTGACATACGTCGGCATGACATCAGAGCAAGGCGGACCGCACTCGGACACATTTCTAACCGGCATGCATCTCGCGCTGATCACCGGTGATCGGTTCTGCGCAGATTGTGCTCATCTCAAACAAGCCTCCTTTTTGGACATTCAGTCAGGATGTTACATCTCCCTTCTTAAAGGGGCACACCACCCATTTCAACATTAATCTTTATTGAAAGTGGGTTATATATGTAGTCGAAATGTAAAAGAAATTTTGAATTTGGTGCCCTCTTGACCGAGAAAATACAGAAAATAACTTTAGGGCGCATTTGTATGTAAGACAACAACTCCCACAATGCACCACGTTGCACAGCTCCGCAAGCCACTCCCACTAATCCAGAACTGCGCAAAGATCAGAGATATCACTCTTCCGTCTACAAGAAGGCTAGCTGCCAAATGAGTTTGAAATTCATTTCACACGAAATGTCTAGTAAGTTGGCTGTGGCGAGCAGGACGAGGGCGAGGGACGTGAGAGGACGACGCGAGTGATAATGAATGACACCTGTGAGACGCAGCGGTCTCATTATATCTCACACGGAGGAGCGGAAGCACAAAAGGAACAGGCCTGCTTTTATGTTTTGTTTCTGTTGTGTGTGGCCAGCTGGCTTATACTTTTGTTTTGTATTTGTTTATTTTACTATTAAAATGTTTAAATGTTCGCCGGTTCCGGCCTCCTTCTTCCCACAACAACGAACCCTGTTACATTGGCAAACTCATTAGTGAATTACTCGTTTGTATTTCTTTCTATATGGTGAATTATTGCATGATACCTGGATGTTCAGTCAGGCGAAACTAGGATGGTTCACATCACAACACAAACGTCCGTGTGCTCGTCTGATTCAGAGATTTCGTCCAGGAGAAATTGCCATCGTTGAAATTCTCTGCAGCAGACGGAGTCTATCTGTGTCCGTAGCGCACAGCGAAAGCACACGCACCAGCAGTCCGCCTAAGCTCGAGCCAGTCCGGGCTCCTCGTCCGCGACAGGCAGCCGCCTCCTGATCCTCCATCAGCCTCAGCTGCTCTTCACTATATTGCGGCTCGTAAAGATGGCCACGAACAGCGGATTCGAGCAGCAGAATTTCAAAATCCTCTTCTTCCATATCATGTTTAGTTTCTTCCGTCATTGTCGTAACTTCCTATCTCCACAGCGCTTGTTAGCTTAGCTTATAAACAAGATGGCTGATATTGCTTTCAGTATCTGCAAGTGAAGTCCCACCCACTGATCTGTGATAGCTCTGTTAGCGCATTAGGTCCAACCCCCTATGGGCGGGTTTGAAAGGGTGGGAATTTGTGCTTGTAGTCTATACAGAAATCCCCCCTTTTTACACTTCCTCCTACAATGACGTCAAATGACGATTTTTGCGTCATTGTAGGAGGAAGTGAAAAAGGTAAATAGTGGATTTCTCTCGTCTCAGGGGAAAATGAAAGAATGTTGCACGACCATTCAATAGTATGACTGGTTGTCTAACAATGTACCTCTTAATGCAAATGGGTGGAGTGCCCCTTTAAGAAACAAATGGCATTACCTAAACACACGCAACATTAATTCCGTGAACATAACAATTGTGCTTAATGCATATATAAGCAGTCTGACAAGTACAGTCTGTGGTCATCATTAGTGTCATTGCTGTAATGTAAACAAGTACGGGCAGCATTTAAATGACATAAGACGTGGATGTAGATAAGACATTAGTTTCCTAGTCAGAAACAATGTTTTGATTTTTTGTATGATTTAAGTAACCTGAAGGTAAACTAGTTGTGAAAAGACAGAACAGTGGTTCCAATATTCCTGGATGCCGAGCGGGCATTTCCTCCTTTCATCAGGCCATCCGTTCTGCGCGGCTTTTCTGAGTGTAGTAAGCTGTGCATCTTGTGCTGTTGCGTCCTTGATCTCCAGTAGCTTGCTGTCACTCACTGGAACAGTACTTATGAGTGTATGTACCTGTGCTTCCATGCTTTCCATGAGGCTGCTGTCTTGGTGCTCGATGGATTTCCGGGACAGTGTGTCGGCCACTGGGATGTCCTTTCCGGGCCGGTGGATGATGTGAATGTTATATTTCTGAAGCTGTAGTATCATCCTCTGTAGCCGCGGTGGTGCTTCCAGAGGTTTGTGGTCAGATTCTACAATCACACTCCGGCCATACATGTATTCGTGAAAACGCTTACAGCTGAATAAAACTGCATCCAGTTCCTTTTCTATTTGGGCGTAGTTCACTTAGGTGCTGTTGAGTGACTTGGAAGCATAGGCGATGGGTTTTCCGTCTTGGAGCATGACAGCGCCGAGGCCGCATTTTGAGGCATCTACTTGGAGTCTGAGTTCTTTTTGTGGGTCAAAGTACGCGAGCACAGGGTGATCTGTTATCAATTTTTTCGTCTGCGTGAATGCTTTGTCGTGGTTTTTGTCCCATAAAAATTCACTGTCCTGCTTCAGCAGTTGGCGTAGTGGTGCGTTAATCTCGGAGAGGCGTGGTGCGAATCTGGCCAAATAGTTAATCATCCCGAGGATGGTTTCCAACTCCCCTCTGCTTGTGGCTGGCTGCATTTCTCGTATCGCTTTCACCTTCGCCGGGCCTGGCTTGACGCCTTCTCGCGAGAGCGTGTGACCGAAGTAGCTGACCTCTGATACACTTATTTGGCATTTGTCGGGATTTAGCTTTACCCCTCTTTCTCTTGTGCGCTTCAGCATGGCCCTGAGGTTGTTATCGTGTTCAAGCTTTGTCTTACCGAAGACGAGTATGTCGTCGACAATGGCAGCTACACCTGTGAGGCCTTCATATGTCTCGTCGACGCGCCTTTGGAATTCGTCTTGGGCTGAGTTGATTCCAAACGGCAGCCTCAGGAACCTGTATCTGCCGAAGGGGGTATTAAATGTCGTTAACAGGGAAGACGTTGTACTCAGCTTTATGGCCCAATAGCCTGATCTGGCGTCGAGGACGCTGAAGTACTGCGCTCCGGCGAGCTTTGTGGTGACATCTTCTAGAGTCGGCAAGGGGTAGTGGGGCCTTTTTATTGCCTTGTTGAGGTCTCTGGGGTCCAGGCAGACTCTCAGCTTGCCAGTCTGGGGTTTTTCGACGACTACGAGGGCGTTAACCCATTCTGTGGGCTCTGTCACTTTGCAAATTACGTTGTTCTCTTCCATCTTGTCGAGCTCTTTTTTCAGTCTGTCTCGCAGAGCGATCGGTACTCTTCGTGGTGGGTATACTACTGGTGTGGCGAGTGGGTCGACATGGAGGTTGCACTCCCCTGGAAACTCTCCTATGCCCTGGAAGACGTCTGTGTATTCTTTAAGGAGGCTGTCTGTGTCTGTACATGGTTTCGCTTCTTCCTCGGCCACAGCCAGTATCAGTTTGATTAACTTGAGGTCTAGACTAGCTCTCATCCCTAGGATGGGAGGTGCTTTGGTGTCTACTATGTAGAATTCGAGCACGATGGAGGTGTTTTTATACTTAAACTTTAGACGACAGGTGCCCTTTACTTTCAGGAACTCACCACCATAGCCGGAG